CTGCGGCTGTTTCTCTTCAATTTGAGTGGTGCCACATCAGCAAATGAAGGTCTCAAAAGCTTTCTCTTATCCATATGAGTAAGGCTGGGTTTACTCAGCTGTTTCAGCTCTTTCCCAGTGCTATTTTGAGAGCCTTTTAGCCTAAACAGACTATTCCTAACGGTGCACGGTAATGTACCAAACAGTCTTTCTTTGCTTTTCATAAGGTTTTCCCTGGCCATTTCTCTGAGAAGTGGACGGCCTCTTCCTTCTTCCTAGTCTGTCTCAGTCTACAAGCTGATTCCTAGTAGTCCTTAATAATTTATTACTTTCCAGTGTCTCTTAAGATGCAAGTCATTTTATAGTTTTGGCTCTTTGTAGCACCTTTTTCAGTATTCCTGTGCCCTCTAAAAATCAGTATCAATGTTTGTTTGCTGTTATCTGGGAAAATTAACAATTTGCTTGGACTGTAATGCCTTGACAGGAACTCTGGTGGCCTAATACCTAAGGTATTTGACTGCTAACCAGAAGGCTGGTGGTTCAGATCCAACTGCCACTCCTCAGATGGAAGGATGGGCAATCTATGTCTGTAGTGATACTTCCTCCGAAACCCAAGGAGGGGTCACTATGAGTTGGATCTGACTCAATGGCAGTGAGTTTGGTTTTTTTGTTTTTTGTAATGCTTTGAGGCTTTGTGGAATCTCCTACCTATTTTTCTTAGATTCTGCTTGTGGATTTACAGCCTTTACAGTTTACAGACAAATTCACATTACTGCAAGGCGTTGATAATTTGCTGGTTTGCTCAGCCTCCCAGCAGGCCTGCTTTTATGACAGTGTAGCTTATTAAAACATCTGGCAGCTTGTGGACATTAGAAAGTATTAAGGTTTCCAAAGAAAAATTACAGTTAGCTCAACCTTCTGTTAAATACTTGGGCCACCTAATTTCTCTGTTGATCCTAAACATAAAGAAGCTATTCTTGGTCTTTCCTATATTTAAAATAAATAAATAATTGTGGAGTTTCTAGTACTCTGTGTGTATTGTTAAGGAGCTCTGGTGGCACTGTGGCTAAAGCATTGGGCTACTAACCAAAAGCTCAGTAGTTTGAACCCACCAGCTACTTTGCAGAAGAAAATCTTCAGTAAAGATTTATAGCCTTGGAAGCCCAGTAAAGGTGGCTATGAGTTGGAATCAGCTTGATGGCAGTAAGTGGGTGTGTAGGTATTGTCAAACTTGGATTCCCAATTTTTCTTTGTTGGCTCAAGCCTTGGAGCTGGATTCATTCCAAATTGTACTAAAATACTGAGAGGCCATAGTTCAGTTAAAAGGAGTTTTAATGAACATGCTTGCTCTAGATTTTTCTAATTACCACTTGGATTTTCCATTATTTGTACACAAAGTATCTGGAAATGCTTTAGTAGTATTAAGTCAAAAACATGGAGAACAATTAAGACCTATAGATTATTATAGCCCAAAGCTCAATCCTGTAGCTAGCTAATGGAAACCATAGTAGATGTTGTGCTGTTAAACTTTTTAGATGTCTATGTGCCCCATGCTATGTCTGCCTTACTTAATTCTGTCTTGATACATCTTTCTGCTAATAGTTCTATGAAGTTCTCCTCTTGACTGCATCTAACATTAGCTACATTCTGTGCCCTGTTTAAATCCAGGTACTCTTCTTCCCACAACTAATGAGAATAACTGTCCTGTACATGATTGTCTAGACTTGACTGAGCAACTTTTAACCCCTTGGAAAGACTTAAAAGAGACCCCTTGAACTAATCTTGATTTAGTTTTGTTTGTGACTGATTCCTATTTAAAACCTAATTCTACTAGTCCTCCCTTCAAGCTAGATATGCTATTACAACTTCTGTTGAAGCCCTTGAAAGTCGTGCTTTCCCTGAAGGCACTTTAGCTTACAAAGTTACATTAAGTGCTCTCACGAGAGCTTGTAGAATTGGTCCAAGAAAACCTGCTAATATTTTCACAGACAGTAGATGTTATTGTTGTTGCTATAGCGACCCCTCCTTGGGTTTCTGAGGCGGTATCACTGCGGAAGTAGATTGCCCAACCTTCCTTCCGAGGAGTGGCTGATGGGTTTGAACCGCCAGCCTTCTGGTAAGCAGTCAAGTGCCTTAGGCACTATGCTATCAGAACTTCTACAGACAGTAGATATTGTTTTGGAATTATACATGATTTTGGCTTATTATAGAGACAGAGGATATTTAACCTCTTCTGAAAATGCCATTTTAAAAAAAGGAGCTTTAATAGCAGACCTTCTAGATGCTCTATTACTTCCCTCTGGAATTGCTGTGATAAAAATCCAAGCTTAGTAACCAAAAGGAGTACCCCAAATTGAAGAAAGGAGAGGAAATAATCTTGTTGATATGGCAGCCAAAAAAGTTTTTTCCATTATTCAGAACAGCCTTTTCACTGCTATTTATTGAAAATCTACCTTCCAGCTATTATAGGTGCCTGCTTTTAGATTTTGTCTTGGTGCTTTGAGGTGGAATGCATTTTAAACTCTCCAAATGTATTCTTTAATAAAATGGAATGGTGGAATAAGGGCAGTGGATTAGCTTTTTGCACCTGAATTTTTAGATTTCATTTGTGGAAACTGTGCACTGTACATATTTATATAATGATTACTTGGGTTTATTTTCAGAAGGAGAGGTCTTTACCTGGGGACATAATGCTTATAGCCAGCTAGGCAATGGGACAACTAATCATGGTTTAGTGCCCTGTCACATCTCTACTAATTTGTCAAACAAACAAGTCATTGAAGTTGCCTGTGGATCATACCATTCTCTGGTGCTAACATCTGATGGAGAGGTGAGACTAGTTTGCAAAAACCTCATGCTTTTTTTCATTAAGATTATGTAGATTCTTGTAGTAGTCCTGAAAATATGATTATATATAATATTTGGTTAAAATAACCCTTTCCCTCAAAGTCGCTTTTGGTTTTGGTAGCAATTCATAGCCATGGTGATTTATAATGTTTACCAATATGCAGTAAGGATCTAAATAACTGAAAATTTTAAAAGATGTATTTTTCTTTCCATGTTGCTATATAGCAAAGGAGGTTAATTGCAAAAAGAAAACCCCCAAGATGCTGGAAAATAGGACTGAGGCCAAGTAGATGTTTTTAAGTGTTACATGATATTTGGCAATAATTACTACTGCTAGTTTGTGCAGATAACACTATAACTTAATTTTATAAAATAGCTCATTTTGTAAGAAGGAATTTTATAAAAATTTCTTTGCCTGTGTTGTGAAAATTAATATATACAAAACACTGAGAGGAAAGAGAAGGTGTTTTGTAAGTGCCTTGTTAGTATCCATTTGAGACACTTTATAAAATGATGCATTTTATTTATTGCCATCATCTTTCTAATAGGTATTTGCCTGGGGTTATAATAATTCTGGGCAGGTAGGATCTGGCTCAACAGCAAATCAGCCTATCCCTCGAAGAGTGACTGGCTGCTTACAGAATAAAGTAGTTGTGAACATAGCATGTGGACAGATGTGCTCAATGGCAGTAGTGGATTCTGGGGAGGTAAGATGGTTGTTTCATTAACTGTTTAAAAATCTCATTTGCTTTTCTGTGGCATATGGCATGTTTCTCCTAGCATAAAGAACTTAGTTGCTTTTTGTCTTTCTTGAACATTCAATTTCTCATTTTTTCTCAGGTCTATGTCTGGGGTTACAATGGAAATGGGCAGCTTGGTCTTGGCAGTAGTGGCAACCAGCCCACCCCCTGTAGAATAGCAGCTTTGCAAGGCATTCGTGTCCAACGGGTATGTCCACTGTTGGTTTGTGTGTGTGTGTATGTGTTTTTAAGTCTTCATTGGCAAAGATAGCAGGATGAAAAATTTAGCTGCTTAGGTATCTTCATTGAAGTAAAACTTAAAGCTCTTTTTCCCTGAATTCAATTGTAGATAGTCAGAGAATTTGTATTTCTAAAACACTCTCGTACACAGGGAGCTCTGGTAGCGTAGTGCCTAAGGCATTTGACTGCTAACCAGAAGGCTGACAGTTCAAACCCACCAGCCATTCCTCAGAAGGAAGATTGGGCGGGCAATCTACTTCCATAGAGGTACTGCCTTGGAAACCCAAGGAGGGGTTGCTATGAGTCGGAACTGACTCAGCGGTAGTGAGTTTGATTTTTTTGGTTCTCATACACAGCGGTAAATTGTTACAACCTTTCCCAAGGGAAATTTGGCAGTCTATATCAAGGGCCTTAAAAATATTCATACCCTTGGCCTGTAATTCTACTCCTACAGTAAGCAAAGAGACAGTGACTTAAAGAATTAGTTAAGAAATACAGCAAAAATTTGAAAACATTAATGAAAAAAACAATAGATGTAGCATAATTTATCTAATGAAATAATAAGTTAATGATTAGATAAATTATGTTTCAGCTAAATGATAGAATATTTTTCAGGCATGAAAATGATGCTTTCAGAGAATTTTTGATACGGGAAAGCGCTATACATAATGTTAAGTAAAAAGAAGCAAGATTCAGAACTGCTTATACGAGAATGGTTATTAAAAAGCTTTAGGTGTGTATCTCTATATAAATAGCAAAAGAAACACTTGGCATTCTTTGGAGGATTGCTATTTGTTGATCTTGAGATTAATACTTTTACCTTTCTGTATTTCTCACTTTGAACATGTCTTACTTTTGTAATAAAAAAAAAGATTATTAAATAATAATGATTAAAATATCAAAATTTTTATCTCATATATGCATTCACCTCATGGAGAGTCCTTCGGTGGTCTTAGCCTACCTTGTGAAAGCGTTGTTTCCTTCTGTTTGCAGGCCTGAGTGGACTTGGTTTTTCTCTCTCCAGGTTGCCTGTGGCTATGCACACACATTAGTATTAACAGATGAAGGACAAGTGTATGCTTGGGGCGCAAATTCTTATGGCCAGTTGGGCACTGGCCATAAAAGTAACCAGTCCTACCCTACCCCTGTCAGTGTGGAAAAGGACAGGTAATACGTGCATTTTCACAATAACCCCAATGTTTTTTAGTGAGTAAATAGAGCTTAGACATGATACGGAGTTGGGGGAATTTATTGATAGTGTTAGAATATTCTTACTTTAACCGAACATTCATTCTTTATTAAAAGTTGGCTTCTGAGTAGTTGGGGAGGTTGACTATATGTTAGATATTCTATTTATCACTTACTCATCGTTCATCCCTACTTCCAGCAGCTACTCTACACAAGCTAGGAAGACTAAACCACTACCAGCTGTTCTACAGGACTCTCCTCCCTCACACACTACCCGTTTTACCTCCTCTTTGTTTTTCGATGTACATTCTTAAGAGGAAGTTGATGACATTTGAGATCTATCTTCTGTGGCCTCAGAAAAGGAAAGTACCTCAGGTTGGGTATAAAGGCAGTCACTCAGCTACTTAAGAAATTTGTCAGTTAAAAGGAATAGGATTATTTCACTACTTTAACTCCCAAAGTATCTCTGTGAAAAAGTAAAATGAACAGAAGGTTAACAGTTTTGTGCACTTGTTCAGAAGGGTGTGCTAAGTCATTATTTTCCAAATAATCCTAAAAATATTTTTGAAAGCCCTTTGAATTCCCCAAGCATAGCCATATTGCTGCCTTTTTACCCTTCATTTCCTGACACAGTCATATGGAGCTAAACCATTTCATTATCTTTTCCTTAAAACCAGGTCGCAATCACTTTAGAAATGAAGACTGCTGTTTCACGTATTGACTTTTATTATATTTGATTTAAACACAAACATATGGATAAATAGATTTATATGCAATTCTTATCTTCTTTTGTTGGATTACATAATGAAAGATTGTCATTTTTCAACCACAGTACTCAGTTTTCATTTGAGTATTGTGAACCTGCCTAATTTTATTTAACTTCTTTTAAATAAAATGTTTTTTCCCCAAAAAAATTTAGGTAACATTGACTTCCTAAGCGTTGGAGTTGAGGGGAGGCAGTGGGAGTCAGGAACTGGTGCAGGTACTTGCAGCATATATTTGCATTTCTTTTAAAAGGTAGGTCAGAACTGCTGAATGAAAAGAGAAGGGATAGTTTTGAGGCTTTGAATCATCAGATAAATGCCTCAGGCTAGCAAATCCAGTCACTGGAGACATTTCCTATTTAGACTGAACAATCAAGAAGTGTTAAAGGATCAAATAAAAACTATACACTAAGGTTGCATAGAAATAAAATAGCGTTTGTATGGTACTTTATGACATTTAGGAGTCCCTGGGTGGTACAGTTAACTTACTTGCTGCTAACCAAAAGGTTGGAGGTTCAAGGCCACCCAGAGGTACCTAGGAAAAAAGTCGTGGCATTACTGCCGCCCTCCCCCCCAAAGAAAATGCCATTGGAAACCCTATGGATCACAGTTCTCTTATACACATGGAATCGCCATGAGTTGGAATCAAGTTAGTGGCAACTGGTTACCATTTTCATGGTTCTTTCACGCTTACCATAACCTTTAACCCATCTAGCCAGGACTTGCTTTGGGTTACCCTGCCAGTTGCTGATGTAGAATGAGAGCCCAGATCTTGAGACTCGAGTTCAAGCTCGACTCAATGGTACCAATACAGTGAGGAGGACTTGTGGGGCAATGAGGTGGGAAAAAGGTAGAGCAGCAGGCCATGCGAGCTCTATGAGGGCCATCTTACCTAACTGGCAGCTAAGAGTAATTCATTTTAATTACAAATGTCAAAAAGTGGAGATAGCTATATCCTTGTTGTCCACATAAACAGTATTTTAGCTATAAAAACTATAGATGACTGTTCTGAATGAAATGTTCCTGCTTTTCTCAGTTGTCCCTGCTTCACCCTCACGTAGCCATTTCTGAGCTTGCACAGTTTTTGTCAGGCCCCAGTCACACACTTTTCAAAGGAGGAATGTGGAAGTCATTGCTAGAACTTGTTCTTCACCTATTCACCCTTTCTATTGACGCAAGTCTTATGAATATGTTATGATTTATCTTGCAGGAAACCTTACTTCTGACTCTTTTGAGGCCCATTATGGGGAAGCACTGCTAGTAGAAAGAACAAGATTGAACTTGGGGTGGGTTAGATCTTCATTTCTCAGTTGCATTTTCACAGGAGAATGAAAATCTACCTACCCTAGATTCTTTGGTCAAACAACAGCCGTTTCAAAATTCTTTCGCAAAGAGATGCAGAGCTCTGGTGGTATAGTGGTTAAAGCATCCAGCTGCTAACCAGAAGTTCAGCACTTTGAACCCACCAGCCACCCCACAGGAGAAGGATGAGGCGGTCTGTTTCCATAAAGATTTACAGCCTTGGAAATCCTGTGGACAGTTCTACTGTGCCCTATAGGGTTGCTATGAGTTGGAATCAGCTTGATGTGTTTGGTTCTGGTTTAGAGAAGTGTGTTTATGATGAAGAATACTACTATTTTTCAGCAATTTCTGTTCATATAAAAGCAATTTTAATAATTTGTCTTTAACAACCCAATCATTCCCAATTGATTTGTGTCTGTTCTTAAAGTTCTATAAAACCAAAACCAAACTCACTGCCGTCGAGTTAGATCCAACTCACAGCAACCCCTCCTTGGGTTTCCGAGGCAGTATCACTACGGAAGTAGGTTGCCCAGCCTTCTTTCCGAGGAGTGGCTGGTGGATTTGATCTGCCAACCTTCTGGTTAGTAGTCAAAGCCTTAGGCACTATGCCACCAGAGCTCCTTAAACTTCTATAAAAGCAAATTTTAAGTTAAATTGATTTAAAACTCTCTTTGCCTCGGATTTTTGAGAATTTTGTGACTCGTTGAGGTAGCTGGCAAAACTTTGGGTTGCTACAAAACTAAGATTAGGACTCAAGGCTCTGGATTGCTTTAGTATTCTGTTTCTGCTACGTTCTTCTTCTCCCTCACAAATTACCTTTTTACCTCTCATTCTCTGTTTTGCATTCTTTCTCATTCTTTGTTTTACATTCTCTCTTATTCTCTGCTTTTTCATATCTCTTACTTTACAACCATTAAGCTCTGTGGTTGTTGTGAGTTATTCCGTTGAGGTGACACAAAACAGAAATGTTTATTATGAACACATAGTCATTTTCTGAGATTGACTACAAGATAAGGTGTGAAATATGCCTGACACCATGGCAGTAAATGCTAGCTCAGTTATAGTCACCAATTGTTGCAAGTAACACTGGGAAGCTGCCTTTCAAAATTTGTTCCTTGGTATGAATCAAATGTAAAAGCAGGCGGCCTTAGGCACAGGCAGTGTTCGGCTTGGACCTGAAGGTTCCCCCGGAACTTTCCCCACTCATGATCCTGTTGCAGCTGTTACTGTCTGCCATGCCTGTTGTCCACCTGACTTCCAGAAAAACCTCAGAGGCAGCACTGAGGGAAGGTTAGCAGGATGCTTCCTCTTGCACACCCTGATCCTCTGCTCTGTCTGCCCCAGCCATTCTCCCCATCAGTGTCCCCACCTCAGGCTTACCAGCCTCTGAAATGGTCACGGCAGCGTCCCTTTATATAGGCTAATAATAATAAGCCCTTCAGAAGTGGATGTAGGAGGAGCATATGTGCATGGCCCTGAGTTTAAACTATTTTAATTTTCTGATGTTGGGTATAGGTTAGCAGAGAAGGGCTCTATTGTATTCCAGTCAGTTACATTTTTTCATAGAACATCATCAGGAAATAGGGAGGCTATCTATTATTCTGGAATCTCTGGGTGGTGCACATTGTTAATGTGCTTAGCTTCCAACCAAAAGATTGGAAGTTTGGTCCACCCAGAGATACCTCGAAAGAGAGACCTGGTAATCTACTTGCTGAGGAGAACTCTGTGGATCACAGCCGTCCCAGGCTGATATGCACAGGTGGCCATGAGTCAAGGGCTGACTTGATGGCAGCTGACAATAACAGCAACAACACGCACAATACTATTTTTCCCACAGTAAAATAAAAAGAGCCCCCTCCCTCCTATTGTACTGTTCATATACAAGACATGCTTGCAGTCAACATCATTTTGTCATTTAATTTCACACTCACTGCCGTCAAGTCAAATCTGACTCATAGCGACCCCTCCTTGGGTTTCCGAGGCAGCATCTGTACAGAAGTAGATCACCCAGTCTTCCTTCCAAGGAGTAGCTGGTGGGTTTGAACTGCCAGCCTTCTGGTTAGCAGTCAAATATCTTAGGCACTACACCACCAGAAGTCCCTAATTTCACACAGTAGCCTTGTAATGTGATGAAATCGAAGCTCATAGAGGCTAGGTAACCTTTCCATGGCCACACGGCCGATAGTAAAGATTCAAAGCAAGGTCTATTTGACTCCAAAGACCTTGCTCTCCCCTATGGCACATCAGAGCCTCCTCCTTCCAGTGCTCTTTGGTGGTTTTCAAGAGCTGAGAGCTGTCCTGTGATAAATTAATGAAATTACTCAGGCCGCACATGAAAGAGACAAGCTGACACAATAATTTCCAGGTTGTTTAATGACCCCCTCTTCCTCTGTTGGATGATACCTAGTTAACCCAGGCATTGAGAAATAGCTCTGCCCTTCAGTTGTTATCCCTTGGTCAGTGGGATCTTAACCCAATCCTCAATTGCTCTATGTTGCTGAATCTTCCCTAAACTTAGTGAATAAAATGACCTACAAATCTGTATTTAGTTAAGACATCATTCTAGGTGCTTAGGAAGAGAAAATTAAGCCAGTGACTCTGTCTGTCAATAATTTGTAATGTAGCAGAATAAGTAAGACACATACCTCTGAAAAGGTAAGAGGGCCAGTCTCGAGAGGTGTGAACAGGAAGTGCTGCAATAGTTCTTCTAGTGAGTGAGAGACCTCTTACCTCAGGGCTGTTTGAACTGAGCCTTGAAAATGGGTCAGATTGTGAGACAGAGAGCAGGGGAAGAGCATTCCTGACCAGAGGCATTAACTGTGTAGTAAGACTTTGAGGGGCAGTAAGTACATGTGTTTGTTGGAACATAGGGTGTGTATGGACAAGAGTGATATGAGGGAAGGCTGGAGATTAGGGAAGCCAGATAATGGGAGGCCTGGAATGCCGGGTGTCTAGACTGTCTCCTGTAGGAAGCCACTGCAGGTCTGAAAGCACTGCTGAGAACAGTGTTTCCGGAGGATGATTAACCTGTCAGCACTGTGCAGTCTGGGTCAGAGGAGAGACAAAGTCTTAGGCAGGGAGACCTAGCCAGTTCTTTCAGTGGGATCTGCCTAGCCTAGGGTGGTGGCACAGAAGTGTCAAATTACTAAGAGAAAATCTGTTATCTGTCAATTGGTATTTTGAAGAAAGGGGTAAATGGGGAGGGAGAGTAAAAGGTCAAAGGTGACTCTGAGATTCTAAGCCTCAGTCACTAAGGATGCTGCTACTGTGGCAAAATCAAGATGGGGACCATTTTTGGGGAAAAATAAAGAAGGAACCATCTTCTTTGAATCTGTATGGTGATTTAGTCCCTTAGAAAAGTTAATTATTTCCAAAGCAACAACCCAGTGTTCTGAGAACTACTTCCTGGCCAATCATGAATTTATAGCACTAGAGTCTACCATATCGTGGTCCCAGGGGACTGGCCACTCTTGTGGGCTCTGGATGATACAGCTCAATGAGGTGCAGAATGGAATTCGCTTTTTGCAGCACAAGGTGGGGTGACCCACAGCATGATGGTCCATTTAACCCAAAAGAGGTGGAAGTTCTGATTCAGACATTTATTGGCCTTGGGTCAAAATGGCCCAAGCCTTTATTTTCTACTTCAATAAGTAATATCTTTAGAAAAGAAAATGAAATCACCTTTTTTTTAGGCCTGTGGCTGGAAGTGTTAACTAGGACTTAAATGTAAATGAGTCTGTGGCTGCGAATTTAGGGGACTAGGAGTATAAGTCTTTTTTTGGTGTAAGCTAAGTTTATGATACCCCAAACCAGTTAAACCATATCAATGCAATTCTGCTTCCATCTCCTGTGTTTACTTGGTGTTTGTTTGTGAACTAGAATTATCGAGGTTGCAGCCTGTCACTCTGCCCACACCTCTGCTGCCAAGACCCAAGGCGGGAACGTGTACATGTGGGGCCAGTGTCGCGGCCAGTCAGTCACTCTGCCTCACCTCACTCACTTCTCCTGCACAGATGATGTCTTTGCCTGCTTTGCCATGCCTGCTGTCACGTGGCGCCTTCTCTCCGTGGGTGAGCTGTTGGGTTATGCGTTTAACTGATGGCCTTAGGATTTGTGTTAAGTGCAGTTTCATCTAACTTATTACCCTCTGATGGGCACCTATGAAAGGCAACTAATTTGATTAATTTTCTTCAACATAACAGAAACCAACCATCCATACCAAATTAAAAGTCTTTTTTTTCTTGTAATTTGACTACTGTTTAATCTTACTGGTAAACTATGTATTTTGTTTTTAGCTGGTATATTTGCCCAAATATTAGAAATTTCCTTTTTTTGGTGGTAATTTGGGACTTTTAAGGAGCTCTGGTGGCATAGTGGTTAAAGCACTTGGCTGCTAGCCAAGAGGTTGTTGATTCAAATTCACCAGCTGCTCCACGGGAGAAAGATGAGGCAGTCTACTTCCATAAAGGTTTACAGCCTTGGAAACCCTATGGGGCAGTTCTACTCTGTCCTATAGGGTTGCTATGAGTTGGAATAAACTTGATGGCAATGGGTTTGGGACTTTTAGAGTTGTTGTTTTGCTAGATTTATGAGCAGATGTGTGTGAGGTTCTTATCCTTAATGATTACTGAGATGGTAATCTATTTAGGAAAAAAAAATATTACATTGTTATTATGTTATATTATTATAATACAGAATTGGCATTTTCATAAGGGGCAGTAGAGCAGTGTTCTTTCTGGTCTGCATTTCGTTATGTCTGTAGCTGATTCTGAAACCATGTATGTCACCCTTCAGAACCAGATGACCACCTCACAGTGGCTGAGTCACTAAAAAGGGAATTTGATAATCCTAACACTGCAGACCTGAAATTTTTAGTGGATGGAAAGTATATATATGCACATAAAGTCCTTCTCAAAATTAGGTAAGGAATAAATTTCTTTTTTGAGAATTGAGATAAATCTATTGATTCAGTAATCATTTTCTAAGTGTAGAGGAAACAATGGTAGTTTCTTCAGTAATTATGGAAAAATATAAAGCTCTGTTTTTGCCCTTACCAGTGTGTGGTGCAACTAGGGGAAGAACATTACATGTGAAACAAAATTATACAGACCATGTTGGACAAGTGCTGGGGACATGATTCAGGGAAGAAGTGCTATAGCCATTCATTCATTCATCAGGAGAGCTTTAAAAAGAGTCTGCCCACTCTGGCATTAGAGAGCAGGAAGCTAGCATTTGGTGAGCATGTTCTGTGTTTTGAACTCTGTATTTTGAACACTGTATTAAGTTCTTTTACATAAAGAAACATCCTTAACTGGAAACTGGACTTAGCCCTGGATGGTCACTGTTCTTAATCAGTTGTGGGATACTGACTTCATAGATACTTTAAAAAGAAAAAAACACAAAAACAAAAACATGGTGGCTCTGCCAGACCAAGGTCTGAGGTAAAACTAACCTGGAGATTTTTTGAAAATTGAATTGATTGATTGTTCTGGTTACCTAGTACCACTCTGACAAGAATATACCACAAATGGGATAGCTGAACAAACAGGAGTTTATTCTCTTACAGTTTGGAGGCTTAAGTCTGAGTTCAAAGTGCCAGGCTCTAGGGGCTGGGTGAAAGCCCCTCAATCTTGGTCTTCAGCTCTACCTCCTGCTCCCGGCCCACTGGAGCTAGAGGCTTTTCTTCACTCAGACAGCTGCTGGCTGCTGAGAATACCAAGCCCAAGGTTGACAAGTAAAAAGGCACAGTCCCAATGTTACCAAACCACACGGCAGACCATTAATTCAAGTCCATTGAAAGTTGCAGGATCAGCAGAGCATGGCAGGCTGCTGAACAAAGACACAGCTACATTCAGGGTTCAAGTGTGCCATAATTTAGAGACCATTCCCAAAGCTGCTGCTTATATAAAGGAAGCAGACCACATCCCTAAAGCAGCTAATCAGCTGTTCACAGTAGATTCTACCATGGAGTTGATTACCAGTCTTATCATGGGGAATACTACATCCAGCTGCCCAGCCACTCAACCAGGCTCAGCCAAGTTGACACACAAACTTAACCACCACATTGATGTATAATTTATGTGCTATGAACTGCATCTATTGAAAGTGTGCAGTTTGATGAGATTTGATAGACGTCGATCCCTGTGAAACCACTGCCAAAATCAAGACACGGAACTTTTCTCATCACCCCTCAGAGATCCCTTGTGCCCCTTCCCTCTGCTCTCTGCCCTGGCAGCCTCTGATCTGCCTCTGTCACTGTTGATTAGTTAATGTTTTTAGAATTTTCTATGAATGGCTCAGACAGCATGTACTTTGTGTCTAGCTTCTTTTACTCAGCACAGTGACTTTGAAATTCATTCACTTTGTGTAACATTTGAATTCTAAGTCAGTGAATCGTAAACTCAATATGCATTTTAGTCTCAAGTTCACCTCTTTTTAAGGTCAGGCTGTGCACCATTTCTTCACTGTTACTACAGGACAGAGACTTTCATGAAAGGGCAGGGTGAAACAAAATTACTCAGATTTTATAAAAATAAACCCTATTGTTTCCTACAAACGCTCATAGATGTGTTGTGTGGGCATTGTCGCAGAATTGGCCCCGTCTCCATGCTGTGTTTGCGGTCTTGGTGAATAAATAATGGGGTTAAATCTTTAGGCAACAAAGAAAGGGAGGGACCAGGGTGAGGAAATGAAAGTACAACTTCACAAGAATCACGAATGAGCTGGAGTTTTATTTTCCCCTAGTTCTGAGCTTTTTCCTCTCTTAAGCCCCTGGAGAAGGCTGTTGGCTCCTGCTAAGACGCTAGGACTTGACATGCTTCTTTCTTCCTTCAGGTGTGAGCATTTTCGTTCTTCGTTGGAAGACAATGAGGATGAAATAGTAGAAATGAGTGAATTTTCATACCCTGTTTACCGAGCCTTCCTGGAATACCTGTACACTGACAGCATCAGCCTCTCTCCTGAGGAGGCTGTAGGTAATGACTGCATGATCTTACCAAGGAATGGACAAAATGTTGAGAATCCAAGAAGGTGGTTTCTGCAGACCCTAAAAGATGGTTACTCACTGTGAGAGTAACTACGGGCGTAGTTCTTTTTCTGTGTTGAACTCAGACTTTTTCCTGTCATGACTTCATACAAAGATTGACTGGTTGATAAAGTAAAAGATAGATGAACTGTCAAAACATTATCACTTTGGGGTGGGAGCTATTCTTACTTAATCACTATCCCTGGATGATGCAAACAGTTAACATGTTCAACTGCTAATCACAAGGTTGGAGGTTAGTATTCACCAGAGGCACCTTGGAAGAAAGGCCTGGTGATTTGAAAAATCAGCCACTGAAAACCCTGTGGTGCACAGTTGGACTCCGAGTTACATGGGGTTGCCATGAGTCACAATTGATCCCGTGGCAACTACTTTGGTTTGCTGGGTTTATTTAATAGGAGGCAGACGTGTCCGTAAAGGGTTTTTTCTTTCTTTCTTATTTTAACACTAGAACACATTCTTGGGCAACAGAGAAGTCACTAGAATTACTGAGGTGGTAGCAAAGTTGAAGTTCTCTTACTTGTCACTCAATCAAGGTGTTTTTATTTATTTTTTAAAATATTCTTTTAAAAAATTTAATTTTGATTTAGGTGAAAGTTTACAGAGCCAAGTAGTTTTTCATTCAACAATCCGTACACATTCTATGTTATGACATTCACTACAATCCCCACATTGCAACAGTACTCTTCCCACTTCCTCTCTGTGCCCGGCACTTCCCTTTTACTTGAAAAACAGACACTGTTACTACATGTGTATATGCTGATAGAAGTGACCCAGATGAAGAATAGAGGAGCACCCCTTTTCTTCATTTTCTAGGAAAAATATTAAAGCCATTTTCAGTGTGCCCCTATTTTTCAACAGTTACTTGTTTATGTGTTATATTATCTCAGTTCTGCTATGGTCTTACACTCAGAGTATGTTAAGTCTTTATTTCATTTACAGAGCCATTAGTTAAGGATTATAATACAAATAATGTTTAAAAACATATCAGAATTGTTGAGTGAGTTTAAATCAGGATACTCCAAATTACCCCCTATAATAAACATATCTTTCTACCAGGATTGCTAGATTTGGCTACATTTTATAGAGAAAATCGTTTGAAAAAGCTCTGCCAACAAACCATTAAGCAAGGAATCTGTGAGGAGAATGCCATTGCTCTGCTGTCTGCGGCTGTGAAATATGATGCTCAGGTGAGAAAAGCACGTGTTCAACTAACTGACCTTCTGGAAAAATGGAGTCAGATGTCTACTTATACCTTAAGCTAATATAAGCCTTAGGTAGATTCAAAGATTTAATGTAAAAAAAAATAAAGTAACAAAAGTACTAGAAAAAAATATAAGCAAGTACTTAACATAATGTCAGGGTGGGCATCAATGGGAGAAACCATAAAGGAAAGGATTGATAGGTGTAATTTCAAAAAGATTTTAAAAACATCTATCAAAAAATTGTGTGCACCAGAAAGAAATACCAAAGAGAAAACGAGAAAGTAATGATAGAAAAGGTAAATAGCACAGTGGGAGAACTACTTGCAGCTCACAGCGGTTCCAGTTGGATAAAGTTGATGTACTATTCTCAGAGAACAGGACAAATTATGAGCAGTCCAACTGAAAAATGTGGAGAAAAATTTTGATGACTACATAATAACTCACCTTGAGACAGTGACACTTAAAAGTGTAGTGTTAATGTGTTTATATTTCATCAAGGTAATAATATAATGGCCACTTACAGCATGCAAAGTGCTTCATGGCCAGAGAAAACATAGGTGCCTTTCTGGAGTTTGTTCTTTAAGGTCATGATGATGATAATACTAGACTCTGGTGACATACTTCAGATGTGGAGATGGTGGCACTCCCTGTTGTCCTTCAAACCAGCTTTCACATAAAAGACTTTCTTATATTTCCCATTTATGTGAATTACTTGTATGGTTACCTTATGTTGTTGTTGTTGTTGTGACGTGCTGTCGAGTTGGACCTGACTCATAGCAACCCCTCCTTGGGTTTCTGAGGCAATATCACTGTGGAAGTAGATTGCCCATCCTTCCTCCTAAGGAGTGACTGGTGGGTATGAACCCAGTCAAGTGCCTTAGGCACAACCTTATAGGCTTCTATTTTCTAGAAAATGAGCTTCTTGAAGGGTGGCAGAGACTTTGTTTTGTTTATAGCTATATACCCAGTTGCTAGCATAGGAAGATACATAGTAGATGTTCATTAAATGTTCATTTAATGAATGTTCAACTTCAGACAAAGACACTGACTTTTAGAAAGACTATTTTACTACAATTTGTCCAGTTAATTATTGTACCCTAAATTAGTATAGAAAGAAGCTCTGATGGTGTAGTAGTGAAAACATTTGGCTGCTAACCAAAAGGTCAGTGGTTTGAACCCACCAACTGCTCCATGGAAGAAAGATAAGGCAATCTGTTCCCATAAAGATTTAGGGCCTTGAAACCCTATGGGGCAGCTCTGGTCTACCCTGAAGTGTTGTTACGAGTCAGAATCAACTCGATGGCAGTAGGTTTTTTTTTTTTTTTTTTTGGTCTTATATTAGTATAATAGACTGTAAATGATTTTATGTATTCTTAATACTAAATAAAAGTTGTAATAAATAAAGAGGAGCCTTGGTGGCACAACAGGTAAGTGCTCCGCTGCTAACCAAAACGGTGGCAGTTCAAAGCCACCAACTGCTCCATGGGAGAAAAACCTGGTAATCTGTTTCCTAAAGATTGCAGCCCAGAAAACCCTATGGGACAGCTGTGCTCTGTCATGTGGAGTTGTTGTGAGTTGGAAATCAACTCAGTGGAAACCAACAGCAACACTAAAGAGTAGTGTGTTTAATTATTTCTACCCAATGACTAATAGTCATATAAGAAATCGGCTTTTTCAGCTACCATTATTATCCCTGGGAGCTCTGGTAGCATAGTGGCTAAGGCACTTGACTGCTAACCAGAAGGCTGGCGGTTCAGACCCACCAGCCACTCCTCGGAAGGAAGATGGGGCAATCTACTTCCGTAGTGATACTGCCTCAGAAACCCAAGGAGGGGTCGCTATGAGTCGGGTCCGACTCGACGGCACATAACAACAACAACAATTATTATCCTTTATGCTAGAGTACTAAAATAATGACTGCCACTTAGTATATAATATGAGCCACGGATTGTTCTAAGCACAGTTCACATTTCATTTAATTCTCAAAACCATCTTATAAGGTATAAGCATTAATATCACTCCTGATTTACAATGAGGAATCTGAGGCTTGGAGAGATTAAGTTAATTCTTAATAAGCAAGTAAATAGCAAAGCTGAAACTCAATCCAAGATTGGACACATTTCAAAACTACACTTTTAATTACAGTTCTCTGTTGTCCCTCAAATTTTAAAATCAGCCGCATTCATTCATTGATTCAACAAATACTTAGTGTCAGTTATAAGCCCAGCACTATTCTAGGCATTCAAGGTACAGTAGGTCAACCAAGCAGACCAAAATTTCTGTCCTTGTGGAACTTACTCTCTAGTGAGGGGAGATGGACAATAAATAAATGTTGTTGTTATGTGCCGTCGAGTCAGACCCAACTCATAGCGAGGCAGTATCACTACGGAAGTAGATTGCCGCATCTTCCTTCCAAGGAGTGGCTGGTGGGTTTGAACCGCCAGCCTTCTGGTTAGCAGTCAAGTGCCTTAGGCACTATGCTACCAGAGCTCCCAATAAATAAATATAGGATTTAATATGTCAGAAGGTGACAAGTTATGTGGAAACAAGTCAAGTAGGTAAAAGCAAGTGGGGAGTACCAGGCTGAGGTAAAGTGGGAATTGTAATTTGAGATCATGTAAGGCGAGCCTCCCTGAGCCTTCCTGAGCCATGACTGAGCAAAGCCTTGGAGATGCTGAGGGAGTGAGGCTTGAAGCTGTCTGGTGGATTCCTGCCTGATAAAAGGAACTAAACTGAAAAACCTAACTAGTTGCCTTGGCCTCAGCTCTGACTCATGACGACCCTATGTGTGCTGAGTAGCACTGCTCCGTAGGGTTTTCAGGGCCTTTAGAAACAGTTTGCCAGGCAAGTAATGGAGGAGCAAATGAAAAGGTCCCACTGTGGGACTGAGCCTGGTGTGCTCTGAGGGTGGATGGAGTCTAGCAAGGGGCAGGAAAGTAGTGGAAGAGGTCAGAGGGATCCTGTGGAAGGGCAGAGGTGGGGAGACAGGGCCTCCTGCAGAGCCCAGAAGGCAAGTTTAAGAGTTTGAGTTCTACTCTGAATGAGCCGGAAAGGCACAGGAGGGTTTTGAGAGGAGCAGATGTGATCTCTCATTTAAAACAATTAACTCTGGCTGCTGTGTTAAGAATAGTATATGGGGGCTAGAGGGGGAGGTTAGGTTAGGAGGTTGTATAGTCCAGTGAGAGGTGGTGGTCCCTACACCAACTAAAGACATTTATCCTTTAATGTGTGTAGTGTAGGTATGAGTTTCTCCATTCCTTTATGTAGAGTTCAACCAAAGGGATTAGATCTCGGTCATGTTTTATTTTCAGGTATTGTAAGGAAAAAAAAAAAAGTCCCTTCTAAAATGTAAATAAGACTCCATGATTTTAAATGGATAGTGGTATATTGAGCATATTGAGCAACCACATACTTTATGTATAGCAAACATGGTATGGTATCGGGTGGGTGTGTGGAATTTTACCGGCTCACCTTGGACTGCTGATGTGACCCTAGAGGCCTGCCCAGCTGTGTTTAGGGATAAAATAAACAGGGTTTCCTCAAGTAGTTTGTTTCTTGCCTTAAAAGAAAATGTACTATGGACTTGTGAGTACATTGGTATGTATATTTGTATTGCTTATTTTTGACTCTGGTTTTTCATCTTTACCATTTGCTGTAACTTACATGAAGGAGCTCTGGTGGTATAGAGGATAAGGCATTTGACTGCTAACCAGAAGGTTGGTGGTTCAAACACACCAGCTGCTCCATGGAAGGAAGACTGGGCAATCTACTTCTGTAAAGATTAACTGCCTCAGAAATCCAGTGGGGTTTGCTATGAGTCAGAATCGACTCAGTGGCAGTGAGTTTGGTTTCTTGGTTTATAACTTACATGTTATCTAAAGAGTCCCTGGGCAGATGAACAGTTTGGCACTGGACTTGAAATAAAAAAGTTGGCAGTTTGATCCCATGCAGAGGCTCCTCAGAAGACAAACCTGGTGATCTGCTTCCAGAAAATCAGCCCTTGGAAACCATGTGGAGCACAATTCTACTCTGACACACAGGGGCTCACCATGAGTCAGAGCTGACTCCATGGCATCTGGTTGTTATGTTACCCAAAGAAGAAAAGAATTACAATGTGCAGTGTAAATATATATATTTGCTTGGAAATTATTTTGACCTTTTTTTTTTTTTTTAAGTTAGCTTTAGCAGCATAGTGGAAACTTTAAAAATTGACCACCATCCACACAGCCAGCTACCCAGAGGGACCAAGTAGTTGAACCTGTGGGTTTGAGACCATAGTCACGGGGGACATCAAGTTCAATTGGCATAACATACTACACAAAACATTGTTCCACCTCCTACTTTGGTGAGTAGCGACTGGGATCTTAAAAGCATGCAAGCAGCCATCTAGATGCAACAATGGGTCTCTCCATGTCCAGAGCAAAGAAGAATGAAGAAAACCAAAGATTCATGGAAAGAATTAGTCCTAGCAACTGGTACACCACGCAGTCCGCAGCCTATATAATTACAAGACCAGAAGAACTAGATGGTGCCCAGCTACCACTGTCAACCACTCGGAAGGGGATCTTTGTAGAAGACCCTGGATAGAGAGGGAGAACAATGTGGAGCAAAACTCAAAAGCATTTGGGAAAAAAAAAAGGGGGGGACCAGGTTTGCTGGTCTGATAGAGCCTGGTGGAAACACAGACTATGGCTCCTAGCTGCCCTTCAGGTCTGGAATGGAACTCACACCTGTGGCTTCCAGCCAAACAAAAGACAGGCTTACCTGAGGTAAACACACTCCTTGAAGAGAGCAATCATGGGAGAAAGAAGGGCTGTTTATGCACAGGGGACAGCTCAGGGGACAGGGGTGCATGAAGGGATGGACACAGAGAAGAGGTACTGTCGGGAGGAAGTGGGAATTGTGCATTGTGGTGAATTGTGGTCAATGTCATGAGACAAAGTGTATATGAACTGCTGTATGGAAAGTGAATTTGCTCTGTTAATTTTCACCCAAATTACAATTAAAATAAAAAAATATTGACCACTATCCAACACCCTGGTCTTGTGTCAAGGTGGCAGTGTAGCCAGGGTCTGAAGTATATAAGAGGTGTCAGCAGGTAGGCATCGCATTAGTTTTCCCAGGACTGCCTTCATTCTGATCCTCAGATAACATCTGTAATCAAGAGAATTACTACAGAATGTTTCTTTGGCCCAGAGTGCATTACAGTAAAGCCAGAAAACTCCTCTATTTGTGGAGCTTCTCCTGCTGGAGAGCCTTGAAAGTCAGGGTTTCTTTAAAAATGTTTTCACATGTAAGATTACTGAAGCTATGTGTGGGCTAATGAAATCCAAGCACACCCCCTCCCCTTTGTCTTCTTTTGAAGGCAAAATAAGAGCAGAGGCCTGGGAATGACTTCGGAAAAGTAGTTCCCAGCATTGCTCTTCATTGTATTAGCTGACCCTTTTCTCCTACACTCTTTATACTTAGAAATATTTAAAGCACCCAGGGGAGTGTAAAAGAGGAGCAGAAGCTTTTAACAAGTACTGAAGGTGGAATGAACAATACAAATACTGTCATTAGGAAAAGGTACAGAGGATTCTTATAATTAAGGGGCCTCTCTCTGGAAAGAAAAAGTGATTGTTGGTATTAGTTGGTGGGGAGGAACTTCAGTGTTTTATTTTGCATGATTTAAATTTTTACAAGCATGGATTCTTATGTGATTGTTTTTGTTGTTACATGCCGACAGTCGGCCCCGACTCATAGCGAACCCCTCCTTGGGTTTCGGAGGCAGTATCACTACGGAAGTAGGATTGCCCAACCTTCCTTCCGAGGAGTGGCTGGTGGGTTTGAACCGCCAGCCTTCTGGTTAGCAGTCAAGTGCTTTAGCCACTGTGTTATATAACTGTTCTTTAGATATCATCATGTCAACATTTCCTTCTGTTGGCTGAACCCACCAAAAAAACAAGCCCACTGGCATTGAGTCAATTCTGACTCCTAGTGACCCCCACAGGGTTTCAAAGGTTGCAAATCTTTATGGAAGCAGACTGCCTCCTTGTTCTTCCGTGGAATGTCTAGTGGGTTCTTACCAGAGATCTTTTGGTTCACAGCCGAATGCCTTACCCACTGCACCACCAGAGCTCCTTTCTGTTGGCTAGTAAAGGTTTTTCTCCATGCCTACTTGTTTTAGGCATATCCATATTATGTTGCAGGGCATTGCATTGGTAAGCATTAATTTGTTAAAGCATTGTTGTTGTTCTTCCTAGGATTTAGAAGATTTCTGCTTCAGATTTTGCATAAACCATTTGACTGTAGTAACACAAACTTCAGGCTTTGCAGAAATGGACCACGACCTTCTGAAGAACTTTATCAGTAAAGCAAGCCGAGTTGGAGCTTTTAAAAATTGATCCATCGGTGGGAAAGAATCTGTGAGCCTTTCCATTTTCCCCGCAAAAGCCAGAGAAGGATACATCTCTTATAATTAATATGACTTATGATAAGCTTGGTAAACTATATTTAACTGAGTATTTATGTTCAGTTGTCAAAAGAAGAACGGTGGTCAGTCTTCTCCATCTGCCTACGTCCCAAGTTTACGCAGAAAGTATTAAAGGCTCTAATGAGGTGTGACTAAGCTCAAGGGAAAGGACTTTAAAATGTACTAGTATATTGAGCATTTTCTGTGCTGAGTCACTGAAGTTGAACACCTTGGTACACTGGTGTCAACGTGCGCTATTCTGGCCAAATGTTCCATTATTCACCTGGCTGGCATCACAGAGAACTTTCACAGGAACATTGTCAGCATCCAGCACAGTGCCCTGCATGTAGTAGGCACTCTGTTAATTGATTATCGTTAAGTATGCCCTCAAAACAGCTTTACTTGTGGGATACCAATGAAGGAATAACTTTTACAAAATAAATTAATGGTCTGTTATTATTGAAGTTCACATTCCTCTCAATACAGTGTTCTGAGAAAGAGTGGCTAATTTGGAACATTAATTAGCTTTGGCAATTAAATTGTCAAAGGCGCAAGGTCTAATTTTAATTATCTATTGATTCTGAGTCGTTATTTCTCATATGGGATTATCGAATATGAAATACTATCTCTGGATGAATGTTCTTTCTGGGCTTATTTGCCTTATGTAATTGCCTAACGTCCTTTGCTTTTCTCTGCATTAAGAGGGATTTTCATCTGTAAATTAAAATGATTATGTGTTTTTCTTCCAATTGACTTTTGTGTCACCATATGATAGGTCTCTTAACCTGATATCCGGTATAATTATAAAGTACTAGCTGAAAAGGAATTAAGACTTACGTTTCATGGACAGCATTGACAAGAATGAGATAAATTTATATACTTTTTAGATCAAAAGTTATCCAACTGCAAAGGAGAAACTGAAATGGTAGATAGTGTCAGATTCTTCTAATATGTGTCATAATATGATACTGTGTAAAGGAAAACCTTTTGGTGTGAGAAGTCTTGTCCTGATGCTGAGGTGTTTGATAATAAAATGCTTATTTACAGGTAATAGAAAAAAATGTGTTGTTATTTTATTCTTAAGAAGTAGCAAAATTATAAAAGAAGCCCTATGTCTCTTAGATGTACATAAGTCCTTAGGTACAACATTATAAGCTTGTTTTCTTTTCTTTTTGGCCTTAACAAACAGGAGTTTATTCT